TCTGAGTTTTGATATTTTTCCCAAAATTGGCCACGAGGCGCAGCAAGTTGCGGGACTAGGTGACTTGCACCATAGTATTTCTGCATTATCGGCTTTTATAATCTGTAATATAGAAATTTTTTTCAACGCAATAATGTATTGACTTGTTTTTTCCTTCGCAATGTATACTTTTCCAAATAGTCCTTCTCCAATAATGACACCAATTTTAAAATTTTTAATATTTAATATTTCATTTGCAAATTGTACTTTTTTTGTTTTCTCATTACCATTAACAATATTTTGATTTTTATTAGTACTAAAGTGAGTAAAAAATAAAGTTTATTAACTATATAGTTTGCATTTATTTTAATAATATTAGCTAGAGTAACAACACCATTCTTTTAACAATAACTAGAGTGACAATGAGTGTGGGTGACAACCACCACCACCATCCTTAAAAACACTTACCCATCAAGCACCTCCTCATGATCATTTTGTCTGCTTCTATTTCTATCTTTACTTTTGTCTTTTGGCATGTTTATGTAAAATAAAGAAGTTTGTGATTTGATTGATGTGTACACATTAATTGGTTTTTTTTCTGGTAGGACAGACGCAAATTGATTTTTTTTTTTTTTTTTTTTGGAAAAACAATTTATTTTTTGACAGAGCCCAAGGTGACAAAACGTGAGTGTTGTTTGGTTTGGTTTGGGTCTCCTAAAGAAAACGTGTTAATAACTAACCAGAGGTACTTTATTTTATTTGTATTGATTGATATTTTTATTTCAGTTTATAAGTATTTTAATTGGAATCAAAACGCGGAGTAGATCTCGCTGGGTAATTACTAGTTTTTCATTGATAATATTTTGCTTTTTGTAATCCTAATATAATACTATTATTGTAATTATATAATTACATGAAGATGTCAAGGCAGCACACCATTGAAAAAGAAACATTTCAATATGCGATGTTTGATTATTGGAAATTAGCAGATGTTGAAGCACGCACGCTACCTTGAACACATTACAGTCATTCTCACATGTTCCTCATGTACAAAAGGCTAATCTGACTTGTGATGCCCGATGATACAACAATGCAACCAAACTCCAGGGGGGTTGCTTTGCCCTGGAATTTACTGAGACTGCATCATCATCAATGATGCTTTCACTAATCTTCCCTCACAGCACCAGGACCAGAGATAGCTGCTGGCGTGCTACAGTGCGGATCATCTATACTCAAAAGTTAAAATTTTTGAAATATTATGTGATCCACACATTGGATTTTAAAAATTTACCACCATTCAATTCAGCTTTAAAAGGGGAGTCTATTAATATATAAAAAAAATTTGTCTCAAATTTTCTTTTCAT